CTAGGGCTCATTTGCGGCCCCTATAGTCCAGAACCCCAAACCCTAGCCACCATAACCATTTTTGGAGCAAGATCTACCCTTGGTGAAGTAATTTGAAGCTTGTAAGAGAAGAGATTCATAGTGGTGCAAGAGGAGGCCTTGTATCCAGAGTTGGTGGAACTTTTTAGAGCATTTGGAGGCAATGAATCGTTATCCTTGGATTTCTCCTTTCTAGATCCATCTTTCATGGAGTTTTAGGGTTTCTTTGAGAGTATGTGATGAGAAACTGGTGAAAAAGTTAGATATGGAGTTGAAACTCCAGATCTGAGCTCTATTTGGATCAAAGATGTAGAAAGCACTGTTAGTTGCTATGTAAAAGCCATTCCCCATGAGTTAAGTTCCTTTCTAGCTTGGTTTTTGGTATTATGAGACAAGAAGCATGTAAAGGTAGCAACTTTATTTTGCTATTGGACTCTAGGAACCCAGATTTATTGTTTGGAGAAAAGGAGTAGCTCTGTGACTCGAGATTATGTGAATACATGTAAGGACTCGGCGAGTCTGGGAGAGGACTTGGCGAGTCGGGCTAGATACCATACTTAAATCGCGTAGTAACTTGGCGAGTCACATGGGTGGACTCGACGAGTTGGATAAAGATAGGCAGGAACTCGACGAGTTGGAAGAACAACTCGGCGAGTCTGTTGAAGATTGCCTTGGACTCGACGAGCCTGTTCTTGGACTCGGCGAGTCAAGTCGCGAAACCCTAAACCTTTCTAGTTAAGACTCGGAAATCAGTAGACTCGGCGAGTCATGGTCTGACTCGGTGGGTCGAGTTGCGAATGAAAGGGGTTTCTGAGCTTATGAAATCGGCGAGTCAGTTTGCTGACTCGGCGAGTAGGGTCAACCTGGAAGGTTGACTTTGACCAGGACTTTAACTTTGACAAGAAGTTGACTTAGTTGACTTTTGGAGGACTGTCAGACCAAGTGTTATATTGATATTGGTAGCTTAGAGAGCTAGAGGAGCAGCACCTCAGAGGGTTATCGATTAGCAGCCAGAGGGTTATCAGTAGAGCTCAACAGTTCAGGTGAGTTTTCCTTCCAGTAGGAACGGGTCTACGGCCATAATGTCGGCCCGTTTAGTTAGCAATAGTTCCGGACCTCGGTCCGATGCAGTAGTTAGATTGCTTGATGTCTTTGTGATTCAAGCATGTTTTGTGTTATGTGTTCCGGACTTCGGTCCGATGCAGTATGCAGTATATGTGCTTATGCTAGTTGATATGTTTATGCTATGCTATGTTATGCTCAGTCGGCTAATTTTGATGTTGTTTTTAATATTATTATTTTTAACATTACCGGGACAGGAAAATCCATTAATAATTCATAACTTCTTCATCTGACGTCCGTTTTCGTTTGTCTTTTTACCATTGTACTACTATTGACGAGACCTTCGATTCTCATTTAGGTTGTGTCGGCTAAAAATCATTCAATCTAAAATTCGAGTTTTTAGTTGTCTACTGTTAAGCTGAAACTTAGAAAAGTCATAACTTTCTCATACGAAGTCAGATTTGGACATTCTTTTTATGCACGCTCTCGGTTTAACGAATACTACGTCTTTCGTTTAGATTGCTAAGGCTAAAAATCACTTTATCATAAATTCACTTTTTACATCACACAATATCATGCCGATTCTGTCACGAAACATCGACAAGTCATAACTTCTTTATTATAACTCGGATTTCGGTATTCTTTATATCTCTAGAATCCTTATTTCAACTACTACAACTTTGTTTTTAGATATCTGCTTTATCTAATATTTATTTTTGATGCTTATTTTTATCCTTAATTCATTAAATTATAATAATTACACATAAAACACATAACAATCAAATAATATATCTATATTATTTCAAAACAAGTTACAAAGGTTGGCCTAGCCTATTACATCATCATTAGTGCCTAGCCTAGAAACACGGGTATTACACCAATAAACTGGGCATTCCAACCTGTTGGTTGTGGGCCGTGGGTATTCCATCCTGAGGATGATTGGACTTATAGTATGTGGGCATTCCAACCTGTTGGTTGTGGGCCTGGGGTATTCCATCCCAAGGATGATTGGACCCGTAGTATGTTGGCATTCAAACCGGATGGTTGAGGGACTAGGGTATTCCAACCCAATGATTGACTGAACCCATAGTATGTTGTTTATGATTATATGTGTCTTGTCGTGGGTATGGGTATTTTGGGGGAACTCACTAAGCTTTCGGGCTTACAGTTTCAATTTGTTGTTTCAGGTACTTCTGGAGATCACGGGAAGACGAAGGCATGATCATACCGCTCCTCCTGCTGTCATGATTTTATGATTTAATACTGGGGTACTCTGATATTTATTATTTTGAAAACAAGCTATGTAATGTTAAATGGTTCTAAGTGTTTTGAAAAAAGTTTAAATTTGTCATGATTTTTATGGGTGTTATAGAATGGGAGGCCAACACCCAGATATGTGCGGCAATATCCGGTTGAAATAGACCGAAGGGGAGGCCAACACCCACATATGCTTGTCAATGAATTTGTTATATGATATGTGGTATGATGAGGGAACTCACTAAGCTTTGTGCTTACGGTTTTTAGTTTTGGTTTCAGGTACCTTTTCTTTGAAGGGAAAGGGGCCGACATGATTGTAGCGCATCATACCATTATTCCGTACACAAGATTCCTGGGAGATATATTATGATGATGTTTTATTGTGATATGTTTTGATTATCGACATTTGGTTTTGTTATGCGATGACATGATGAATGTTTTTAATACTAATGGTTCCTTTATTACTTATTTTAAAAATAAAATTTTTGGCCTTGAATTTTCAGATGTTACATATAAACTAACTAGGTGCACTGCTTATAAGTGCTTTATAGATCAGTTAGTTAGGTTTATAAATTTAGAAATGATAGGTATATATCTGTGTACAACAATGACTTGGCATAATACATGTCACTCGAGTCACCAAAAATTCCACATGACACTAACATGGCTTCCATGCAGCCTTTTCATTTAATTATATTTATTCATTAATATGATAATGATTGTTATTATTACTATCTATTATTGATATCATTTTACATGAATAGATTATTTGGCCAAAATCTACCTCCTATAAACATCGCGCCACCATTTATCTTCCTCTAACCTATCCCCTACTACTACCACCGATCGTAATCACGTCCAAGCACCTCCATCCACCACCAACACAAAAATTTGGAGGCTCATTACATTTTCAAAATAAATGAAGATACAATCAAACCTAGAAACCAATAACACAATTCCAATATATCGTTTATTATTCTATCTATTGTTTGGCTTCGTAAATCAATTTACACAAATAATGAAAAACACATACTCGTACAAATCCTGGAAAGCCAAAAATCTATTGATCATCATCTTTGTAACGCCCGCAGATCCGAGCTAGTCAAATTAGAGTCAATAAGTGTCGAAATTTTTTTTTGACAAAAGATTATTTATAATAAATAACATTAACCAAGTTTTAGAATATGTCACGAGGTTTCCATACATATAAAGTACGTCAAAATCCGAGTTATAACAAAGAAGTTATGACCTGTCAAGGTTTCGCGACTAAACCGGCACGATACCGGGAAGCATAAATAGTGAATTTATGATAGAGAGAGATTTAGACTTAGTGATCTAATTATAGTAGTATAATACATTAAACCGAGAGCGTCTATAAAAAGAATGCCCAAATCTGACTTCGTATAAACAAGTTATGAGTTTTCGAAGTTTCGACTTAGCAGTGTACAACCCGAAATTCGAATATTAGATCGAGCGGTTTTAGTCGACACATCCTAAACGAGAATCGAAGATCACGTTAATAGTAGCATAACGGTAAAAAGACAGACGAAAATGGACGTCGGATGAAGAAGTTATGAATTTTTAACGAACCAATCGTGTCTCAGTCTGTTAATAATGTAACTTTTAAAGTAAATTCAAAATTAGCCAAAAGAGTCTAAACGAAAGTTGTAGAGTACGTTCCCACCGTCGCGTGGATATAAAGAACGTCAAAAACGGAGCTCGTACGCGAAAGTTACGAATTTTTAAAGTTGAAGCATGAAATTGCGAGACCTGATGAAGAATCGATGATGTCGCAGTGATCTAGACTGTCCATCGCAGATCAGAGGTCGCCTCGGATTCAGACACGTCGTTCCTCGCCTACGCCCCACATCCGAAGTCAGTACGCCCAGCGTACCTTCGCTCCTTGTCATCCGATGCACGCGCGAGACAGTTGGACCGAGGCTGGCAGTCTTATCCGGAGTTACGCCTAGGGCTGGCAATACTCGACACGACCCACGACACGACACGAAATAAACGGGTTTGGGTTGAGTTTTTCAACCCGCCAACCCGTTAATTAAACGGGTCATATATGGGTTTCTCAAAAAATAAACGGGTTGACCCGCCAACCCGTTTATATTTTTAATATATATATATATATATATATATATATATATATATATATATATATATATATATATACTTTTAAATGTAAATCCTAATTCCTAATCCTAAGGTCGTAATCTGTTTTGATTTTACCCATTCGAGTCTTCGACCATTTTCTTGCCCTAAATCATATCGTGTATGGTGTATCCGTATCTCCCCCTCAAACGATCGATCGATCGGACCCTCTTCTTCTTCTAGTCTCTTCGACAGTCTGACTCCCGAATTCCCGATCTCCCCCACCGTCGACACTCAATACTCCGGTTAGTCCCACTCTCCCCTCTGGCTTTTGTTACTCAACGATCGAAATCACAAATCGAGGACTCGAAATCGACTAATTGAGTCATAATCGACTGAAGCTGGAGTGGTGACTGGTGAAGCGTATCCGTATCTCCCCCTCAAACGATCCAAAGGTCGTGTCGTGGTATGTTTCTTAAATTGCTCTTTTTTCTTAGTTGATGGCAAGTTATTTCATTTGGAATGCAAGTTATTTCATTTGGATAATGCAAGTTTTTTCTTAGTTGATGGCAAGTTATTTCATTAAAAGTTGGGGAATTGAAAAGAAATTGTTTTCTATAACTTTGGATAATGCAGCATCCAATGATGTATGTGTTGAGTTGCTTAAGAATCAGTTTCGTTTGACGAATTCTTTGGTATATGATGGCAAGTTATTTCATCTTAGGTGTTGTGCTCATATTTTGAATCTGATTGTACAAGATGGTTTGAAACAAATTGATGTTTCGGTGGAAAAATTTAGAGATTCTGTGAAGTATATCAAGGGATCTACACTAAGAAAAGATCGATTTATTCAGATTTGCTCTCAAAATCTTCTTGACTACAAAAAGGCTTTGGTTCAAGATGTTCCTACTAGATGGAATTCCACTTATAAGATGCTTTCTTGTGCGCTTTATTATCGTCTGGCTTTTTCTCATTTGAGCTTGAGTGATTCGAACTTTCAAACTTGCCCATCCTCTGATGAATGGGATAGAGTTGAGAAAATGTGTGGTTTTCTTAAAGTGTTTCATGATGCAACTCTTCAGTTTTTTGGATCTCTGTATCCTACTTCAAATTTGTATTTCCCTCAAATATTTGGAATACATTTGAAGTTGGTTGAAACGAAAGACAGTCCTAATGAGTATATGAAAAAAATAGCTACTCAAATGTGGAGTAAATTTAGAAAATATTGGGCTGACTTCAATCTTTTGTTAGCTATAGCTGTGGTGTTTGATCCGTGATATAAGTTCTCTTTTGTTGAGTTTAGCTATAAAAAGTTGTATGGTGAAGGTTCATCACAGTTGAAGAGGGTTGAGGAGGCACTTTTTTCACTTTTTGATGAATACATGCAAGCTTCTCGAGAAAGTAGTGATGGAAATGTTGGAGGTGGTAGTGGTAGTGGCGACTTTAATTCTCGACAAACTAGTGTTGGAAATGTTGGAGGAGGCTCTAATCATAGTATTCTTGAGGTAAGTCCTTTGTTCATTACATTTGCATATTTGCTTTATACTTTTTCTTTTTAAATATATTATAATTTTTTCATATTTTGTTTAATATAATAGGAGTTTGATGAATACGATAATGATGATATGGATTCGACCAAAAAAAGTCAATTGCAAGTATATCTTCTTGAGCCAAGAACTAAAAGAACTTCTTCCATTAACATACTTGAGTTTTGGCAATCCCAACAGTATAGGTATCCAGAATTAGCTAAATTAGCTATGGATATACTTTGTGTTCCCGTTTCAACAGTAGCATCTGAATCAGCTTTTAGCCTCGGTGGAAAAGTTTTGAATGAGTATCGAAGTTCCATGAAGCCTGAAATTGTTGAAGCTGTAATTTGTAGTAGGGATTGGTTGTTTGGAGTAAAAGGTAGTATTTATAATTTATTGTTTACTTATATTAACTATTAGTTTGTATTGATTTTTTTTTTTTATCTTTCTTATCCAGTTGATACTCATGTTGATGTCGATAAACTAACTCAAAACGTCATGGATATGAACATCGCCGAAGACAACACAGAGGTTACAAGTTCTAATAAACTTTAAGTTGACGTTTGGTGAGTTATTTTTAATGAAAACAATACATTTATATATTTTTACTTACGTATGTTTTAACCTTGGCTTTTCTTTCTACTTGAAGGTTGAAGTTCATCATAAAGAAGAAAATGGTGTTGAAGAATTAACTTTGTTTTTTGGAAGAAAGAAAATGAGAATTATGACTATTACTTTTGTACTTGAATTATCTATGTGACTATGTTTGTATTAATGTTTAGTTTGAACATGTTTGTATGAATGTTTTTAGTTTTTATTTGGATGTTTAATTGTTAATTTTATTTATGGAATCTGACCCATAAACCCAAATCAAACCCACGAACCCGCCAACCTGTGAACCCGTATAAATAAATGGTTTGTGGGTCATATATGGGTTTATGTTCCAATCCCGCCAACCCGTGACCTGTATAATTAAATGGGTTGTGTTTGGGTTGACATATTTTGACACGCCAGCCCGCCAACCCGCGACACGCTAACCCGAACACGACACGATTGCCAGGCCTAGTTACGCCCAGCGTAACCGAAGTCTACGCCCATCGTAGTCCGAAGCCAACAACCTATAAATAGCTGCAAATTCTCTCGGATTTTCACGCCAAATCTTCTTCTCTCTCTAGATTTCTTTCTCTCTCTAGGGTTCCAAACCATCCCTAAAGTCTAGGTGGACCCCTAGCACCCGAAAGAAGCCCCGAGGCTCCCGGAGTCCTGAGAAAAAGGGTCTTTCGGTTTCGAAACGCTGCTCCGAGCAAAGCCCGGTTTTCTTTAAAATCCGTTGTAAGTGAGCTACGCTTACGCAATTTTTAATATAGCTTTCAAATAATTATAGTAATGTTATTAGGTCCTTAAAATAATTATTTGAGCTATTATTTTGAGTTATATAAGTATCGTTTAATGCTTATATAATAGTAATAATAGTCAGACTATTAATTAGTTGCGGTTATCATTAGATTAAACCCTAGTGGTATTGATACTAGGTTTTATCGAAGGAAAATTGTTTTGAGAGTATCGAAGCGTTGTTCGACTGCTGAGTCACCACCGTATCAGGTAAGTGCATAGTTACTTTCATCTTACACATAGATATGAAGTATTTAATATAGATTACATGATATTTGTGCATATTGTTTGTATACTTGTCGTCTGTGTTGGGTGAAAGATTTTTATACATGTTTTAAAATGTATATGTATTTTGATATCTACAAAATATGTTGGGTAAAACATGGGTAGATGAATGATAAGGGGTAAAAGCTGAAATAAAGGAACATTAGTAGTATGGACCTAGTGCCCTATAGGTAAACATTGGCAGCAATGGACCTATTACCCTATAGATGAGCACTGGCAGCTACGTCACAACCCGTAGATGTTTTAGATCTACGGTAAACGTCCTAGCAGTTGCACTCTAAGGACACTATCAGCAGCTGCACCTAATAGGGAGCCTTATGACCATGACAGTAGCGTTTAAAGGTCAATACCGACAGAAGTGCCTCATAGAAAAAAAGTCCCAATTCTAGCAGCTGCGCCTAAGAGATAATATTAGCAGCTGCACTTGACCACTATGTCATTGGCAACAATGGACTTCATGTTGTATCCTTAGGATGATCCTTAGGAATGAATGAACAAGGTTTAGCTGATCCTTAGGGTAAATCCTTAAGAAGATAATGGGAATGGGTAATTGGGTTGATTGTTTTGTGTTCAAATATAATAATTATATTATTGTGGGTTGAAAACCCTATCTACTCACCATGTTTCCCAACCTGACCCACTCCAACTTATTGCATCACAAGTGTCGATACGAGGCTACTATAAACTGAGAGATTTAAAAGAGATGTAGATCACTAGTGTAAATAAATGTAAGTTCTGTTTATGCTTATGTTCCTGTATTGACGATAACATCCCAAATGTTTTAAAAGTGAATAAAAATACATATCTTTAGGATGCTTTGATAACGCAATTATCATGTTTTTCTGGGAACAAATTCCACAGCATTCTTATTAAAAGAGGTACTCTGATTTTTGTAAAGCATAAACAAAATCGTTTTTTTCTGGCCGTGAAAATGGGGATGTCACAATCTTCAAAGAACACAACCAAGGAAACCCAGATTTTGTACCACCACTATATACCATTGAAAGAACAAAATATGATATTTGATCTAGAAAAATTGAACATAAGTCGACTGTTTAACAAAAATTGAACTAAAAATTGAATAGAAACTTGAACAAGAATATGAATTTAGGGTTTTATTTTTTATGTGGAAATAAAAGGGTGTTGTTTCATTTTCTCTTCTTATCATCATTTGAGTGGATATGTGGTACTTATGTTAATGGATCCCCGGTACGATCAAATCAACACTCATGACTATCGCCTACACTGTCAATATCACCAAATTGATAGCTGCGAATGTTGTTAGAGGTTAATATTCCGCCTTTTTCTCATGGATCGGGTCATGTCGAACCACGCAAATCCATTTCTCCTGGCCTTGTGTATGATATCTCAACGGAATAATAGATCGTTAACTATGGTAACATCTCTTATGCTAGAAAATTAGAGGACGAAAGAGGCAGTGGAACAAGGGGTTCTAGAATATGCGAAGAAGAGGAAGAGGGAGGTAACATGAAGAAGTTGAGGTCTGAATGATATGATGAGTAGTAAGATGATTAACTACTTGGACTTTAGGTGGACAAGCATGATTTAACATCCTCAATATCGATTCTGAATGACATCTACAAACAAGTATGTTTGGGGTTGATCCCTTATTTAATAGGAAAATTACAAATTTAGTGACCTATTATGTAAAAAAAATACTTTAATGACCGATTCGAGAGAAAACGTAGAGTTTGATGTGCTACAGTGTCATTTCACATTCTTAATAAGATCGAGCCTTGTGATTCCTATTTGTGTGAGTATTGTTGGAGTAATCGGGATTTTTCATGCGTTTTGAGTTATCTTGTTTTTGAATTTTTAGCTTTATCCTTTCTACATTTTTGTATAGATAAACATGTCTATTTATTTATTTATTTTTCTTGATTTCAATTGGTATAAGTAGGTTATAAGATTTGATAATTTATAAAGAGTTTGTTCTTGAAGTTAAATACAAATGTGGTATCTTTTTTTGCTGTTTTTTTATTCCACTATATGTCTAGTTTTCTCATTATGTCTTCATAAAGAAAAGAAAAATGTTTCTTCTACATATTGGTTCTTATACATGGTGTTAGAGATAGTTTATGCCCAAGATCAAGCCTTAACCCTTAGCCATGGATGCAACAATTAATGAAAAGGAATGCCAAATTACACTCTACTACCTAATGTTATCCATGAATAATTGTACTGCACGGGCCATCATAACGGAAGTTTTCATGAAAGATAATGACGTGTGGGATTCCATTGAGCCCAAGAACCCTCAAGAAGTCATTTAAAACATCCTCTTTCGATTTGACAATTTGAAATCATTTTAAAAGGCTTTAATATAATAAATATCGTTTCAAGGAAACTGGCAACAAAGTCTTACTTATCTAAAATAGTTTTAGTTTCAAAAGAGGTTAAAAAAGAGGGTTAACAATTATAATATTATTACAAAAGTCAGTCTTCCACTACATAACAATGACCTTTAAAAGATCTCAAACTCCTATAAGCCTTAATCACTACTTGCACCTAGATACATATAAAAATAATGTTAGCTTTATGAATGCATAATGACTAGTATTAAGATTCATAATCTTTGTTGTCAAAAGGAATTAAGTCATTTGCTTTGACCAATGAGAAATCCCCAAAATCTTTGGAAAACTCTTTATCTTTAATCTTTGAAATCCCTGTGATCTTTAAAACTCTTACTCTTTAAAACATCTTAAATCTTTAAAAATAATCATAACTTTAAAATGCTCAAACTTTTATAAACAAATATAATGTTAAAAATATCTTAACTGTTCGAAACATTTTTAATTAATAGTGTACCAAACATAACTTTTCAAATCATTCTCTTTACTCTTTTCTCTTGAAAACTCTTTAGTAGATAATAATTATATTAGCAATAGTAAATAGATGATGAAATGCATTATGATTCTATTCCCAATCTAGGTTTCACTATTAGTCTCTTTTCATATATTTTCATTCTCATCTAATATCAATGGGGACAATGAATCCGTTATCACAAAGCACCCTACATAATGAATCTTCTCATTTCTTTTAGTCACTTTGGTCTCTTTAATGGTATGTGTGTGATGTCAACACATATCCCATACATGATATAGCTATCCAAGTGAATAAATAGGGAATGTTTATAACACCATACTACTTATTGTTCTCTTTAGTATATTTTCCCATGGACTTTACTGACACACAAGTCTCTTACCATCTTACGTGAATGCACAAGTAATATGATAAAATCTTTTCAAACGCTTTTTCATTTTACTCTTAATCAAACTCTTTAATGAAAATTCATTTTCATGAATGCACTTAAGGTGCACACACAATATAACACATATCACACAATATTTCAACATATTAAAATATTTTTGCAAAACATCTTATTTATATATAAAAGGGACATTTATTCGATAGTACCTACCTTAATCCAAAAGTTATACTTCTTATTTTTTTTAAAGGAAGGAAAAAAATCTTATAGTATCTCCATTCCTCTTATATAATGTTTTGAGTATTTAAGTGTCACTTACAAGTATCAATAGGTGTGCCAAAATCCTATTAAGTGTCCCATTAGATTTTTTACTAAGATATCATTTCTAAAAGTGAACTTTTATTGTTTCAAATCCTTACTTAAGTTAAAAGATGAACGGAGGTGAAACAAGGACTAATTTGGATACCAGATACAAAAGTTATGATATTTTCAAGTTTTGTCATAAAAATAGATCTTATGCAGACCGAGTAGGATTCTAGGCATACTAAGTATCAATAGAAGGCCTAGATACACTAAACTCGGGCCTAGTTGGATTCTATATGGATAGTGTACATCAGGAAAAAATTCTATTAATTCCTACATGTTCCCACTT